AAAAAATTAATTTCTTTCTTTTTTAGAAAAATTCACCCTTCAGTAACAAAATGAAATTTCACCGTTTTCCTAATTTTTTTTTATTTAGAAAAAATGTCTTTTATGGTTGTAGAAATATCATATTAATCTTTCAGAAAAAAAATTTTTTCCACGTAAAAAATAGGTTGTGAAATATAAATATTTATATGCATACATATGTATATAATTTATTTTAGATTTTAATATCATTTATCTACATATCTTATAACCACAACCTTATCAGCTCAGTCCGGAACAATTATGATCAGCAAGATTCGTATTTATGGCAATACTTTGAGCAAATTTCTTAGAACTTTTATTTATTTGCAGACGTAGGACTAAGTTCTAATTTACAGGGTCAAGCACATCCCCTTTTAAATAAAGCACTAATTAGGTGTGAAATAAATTCTAATCTAAAATGTCACATAGCGGTTGGTTCTCTCTGAAATTTACTACATTTCAACTTTCTTCTACTTTACCATAATTTTTACCGGTAATCCCTTAATTCCATTAAAGCTTACCCACATTATTTATTTTAGGAAAGTAATGTTTTTTCGAATCTGTAACGCCCGTTAAAATATGAATTTCTCGACTACTAAAAATAGCAACTTAAACGCTCACGCATGCGGTATTTACTCAGTTCTAAAGAAAGCGGCGAGGATTTGCACTTGAAATTAACGCATCCGCATTCGTTTCGTTTCGCCAAGCATCGTCAAACCTCGTCTATTGGTGCTAATGCTTATCCATTTGGTATTCACGATGATCACTCTGATCACTTTGGCTTACGCATTACACATATTATCGACACGTGCGCAACAGTTGACCCAGTTACACATTTCCCATATCGAATGCAATRTGAATAATTGAAGAATGAAAGCGATGCGATTAGGCTGACATGCTTAATGACTAACCGACTGGGTGGASTGAGTAGTGACTGGCGGTTGACTATCGCTGAGAGTGTAAATGAGCATATGTCCAAACAAATTGTTGTGTCTACATATGTGTAAGGTGTGATGCTGTGACCAACACAAGCCTTGGCAAAACACCATTGCAACAAAGTATTGAAAAGTAATTAACACGACGTTAATTAAAATAGCGAAATAATGTGGTTTGATATAACTGGATTAGCGATTGAGAAGATTAAGAAYGAAATCATTTCTATTTCTTGGTATTTGTATTCGTAAAGAATGGGTGAAAGGGCTGCGGAAGTTGTCGAAATCGTGATAAAAGTTAATTTGCTTAAATTAGTTACAATTTGTAAGTGAAGATAAAAGCGAAATCGTTGTGTAAACGAAATGGAAAGAATTTGCAGAAGCCATAAAAGTAAAATAACCAAAACAAAAATAAGAAAAAAAATTTTTTTTTTAAATTAAAATAAAAATAAAAACCAACGAGAAATCGCTTTCGGCATTTCACTTTACTTTTCACCGCGCCGCGGCTACCCACGGTCGGTCGGTCGG